GAGGGAAGAGGGTCAGAGGGAGAAGCAGACTCCCCGCTGAGCAGGAAGCCCGATGCAGGACGCGATCCCGGGACTCCAGGATCATGACCTGAGCCGAAGGCAGTCGCTTAACCAACTGAGCCACCCAGGCGCCCTTATCAACTTATTTTTGACATTTGAAGCTCACTTAAAGCCCAAATTTCTTACTCTTCAAATCTCAAGTTGGCAACGAGATATGAAAATGTTTAAGAGTAGTTAATAGAAGTATTCCTCACTCAGGAAATCCTTAGATTTGGTTACCCAAGATAAGACCGGCCTTGCAATTTTCTTGTGCGTATTTTATGATACGCCTAGAGAAAAAAATCCCAATCCCTGCACACAACATCAAGGCTTAACAAAAAGATCAACTTAATACTGCGGCATGTCTTAACTTCAGTTTCCTGAACTAATTGCTTAAAAAATGTCAACCTTTATCTGATATTAATACCTTTGCATTCAAGTATTTACAATTACTTTTTTAGTGCATAGAACTCTGAATTGGAGGCCCTGAGAATTGGGGCCCTCTTTTCCAAATCCATATTCAAGGCAGAGCAAAGCAGCTTGGTAGAGTCTCCTTTTTATTAACCTTTAAGAAAATCATCCTTCAGGCAAAAGCTCAACCTGATGCTAACAGCCAAAGGCAGTGTTCTAGGGAGTCTACCTTGGGCTTAAAAACCATACTTTATTTTTCTTGTGACTATTTTCTGTACTTCTCAAACCCAAACCTTACAATTGCACACAAGCATAGTTAAAATAGTAAGTCTTCTCGCTCTCTCTCTTTTTTTTAGGAATGCAAAATGGTGCAGCTGCTATGCAGTGGTTTTTTTTTTTATTTTATTATGTTATGTTAGTCACCCTACAGTACCTCATTAGTCTTTGAGGTAGTGTTCCATGATTCATTGTTTGCGTATAACACCCAGTGCTCATTATAACACGTGCCCTCCTTAATACCCATCACCCGGTTACCCCATACCCCCATCCCCTCCCTTCTGTAACCCTCAGTTTGTTTCTCAGAGTCCACAGTCTCTCATGGTTTGTCTCCCCCTCCGATTTCCCACCCCTTCATTTTTCCCTTCCTATCTTTTTAAACATACAATGTATTATTTCAGAGGTACAGGTCCGTGATTCATCAGTCTTACACAGTTCACAGCGCTCACCATAGCACATACCCTCCCCAGTGTCCATCACCCAGCCACCCCATCCCTCACCCCCCACCACTCCAGCAACCCTGTTTGTTTCCTGAGATTAAGAGTCTCTCATGATTTTTCTCTCTGGTTTCATCTTGTTTCATTTTTTCCCTCCCTTCCCGTATGATCCTCTGCCTTGTTTCTCAAATTCCTCATATCAGTGAGATCATATGATACTAAGTCTTCTCTTTCAAGGGAAAGTTATTTGCAGAGTCCTTTCCAGTCTTTTTCCTCTTCTAGGTGGGGAGGAACTGAGGATAGAGAAGAGGCAGGACAGGAAATGTTCTGCCAAAGAGAATCATTTCGATTCCCCGCTGCCCAGTTAGGTATCTTACGTCTGCACGCAACACAAAATGAGATACTCAGAACAGGTACAAAGCATTTGTTTTTGTCACTGCCCTAGTGCAGATGATTTAAACAAAAGTAACTATAATGTAATAGCTTCTTTCTCCCTAACTTCAGATGTTCAACAATGCAGAGCAAGATGCTTTAGGAGGCTTTTAAAGTGTCAAGTTTAATGCGAAGAATTGGTGTGAATTTATACAACAGCTGCCTTATTGACAACCCCAACACAAGGTTTTCTATTCTATAGCTAAGGTCCCTTGCAATTGGGTGGTTAAAGTCAGTAATTCGGCCTTTACAAAGTAGTCAAGCTTTTAATAGGTCAAGGAATTTGAGCTGGCGGAAAAAAGGGACCCTACAAATACCCAGGTACTGTGGATACTGGTCAATTAGTCCAAGATTAGATTACGTGTTAAATATTGGCTAAAATCAATCCTTGAGCTTCTGGTTCACTTTCGTTGGGTACCCTGTTGGATGGCTCTAAAATTAGCACAGTTCCACACTCAACTGTACAGTGGCCAAAGTTTATGAGTGAAGAAAACCAATGGAGACCACTAAAACATCGTTCCATCAACAAGGAGCAGTGCCCAGTATCTTCCTCCTCTGGAACACATGGAGACGGTTGTCACATTATTCTGGCAACTAATGAGAGGCTGGAGAAGACACCAGACGCAAACCTCAGGACGTCCTAGGGGAATGTGGCCATGAAGGGAGCAATGAGATTCAAGCATACAAGTTCACGAAGAAGGGTACACAAGAATCCTGTCGTCTACTCCTCAGCCCCTATCCTCAAAGGCAAGTACGAAAGCAAGGAAAGGTCAGTTTAGTACAGAGGCACCTTACATATAGCTCTGTCTAGCATTCCTAATCCTGCAAAAGCCACCTTAACTCTTCCAGGAAACAAAACCGTCCACTTGAGGGGAAAGAACCCTCAAATACAGCTGTAGCTGTAATCTACTCTGGTTTCTAGAAAGTTTTTATTTTCCTTACGTATTTAAAATACCAGAAAAAAAGAGGTTTTTTGGTCAAATATTAGAACAACACTGAACTAAACCTCTCCTAACAACTAGCGTGAAGTTGTCAATCCATCTTGCATTAGCAAAAATGAAAAATATGAACAAAAATAAGAAAATGAAACTAGAAAGAAAAAGTTAAACCAAGACAAAATTCAAATTTACTTTCAAAAATCTGATTTTATTTTCTGAATCAAAAAGAAGTGTATTCACGTTAAATGTAGAATGTTTAACTTTCCATTGATCTCTCAAAACACTTTCCAGATATTGTTAACAGTGCTTAGAACTGTGTAAAAAGTCAACATCCAATACCATGTTTTAAAGAAAAAAAGTTTAAATGTAGGACTTATTTCTAAGAAACCCTTCTCAAATGCCAAGGCATTGGCAATTCTAATTTAAAAAGAATTTTAATCACTACTGGAAATTTAAGTGACAATGGTTTTCAAGAGCTAAAAATCAGATCTCTTTTCAAACAGAAAAAATTTTAATTTCTGAGGGACTCCTACCTGGCAACTCCAATTAAACATTTTATTTCCACTACCCCCCAAATTACTAAATGCATTATTTTACCTTGGAATAGGAAAATTAGAAAATGGAATTTTAAAATTATACTATTTATATATATGTGTGTGTGTGTGTGTATGTATATATATATATATATATATAAATACACCATTTAACTGTCATGTTTGCTAGCAGAATGATGAAATTAAAACCAAATTCTATATTCAAGGGACAAATGATAAATGCTCTTTCGCTGTTCTAAGAGTCCATCCTATTCCTTGTTTTCTACCCCCATAGATTAAAATCATGACCAAAGGCCAAGGTTAATCCATTCACTGGAAATGAACAGCTGATAAAACTGGTCCTACATTTGTAGCCTTTAACTAGTCCAGGACTCAAAGGCTAGGGGGATTTATAAGAACATGATTTAGGAATACTTTAGAATTCCAAAATGACTGACACCCATGTCCCTAAAACCTAGTACATGTTATTCATAGGCTATTCATGTGTACTGAAGCATGTCCAGCATGCAGGCAAACTTCTTTTACTTGTTTCAAATTGAGGTAAAACAGACAAAAAATATTTAATATTAACAGAAGCTGCATAATTAAAAATAACCTTTTTTTGCTGCTCATTTCATATAAATTGGTTAAGTTTTCTCACAAAAAAGAGACTCTTTCTAAAGCCAATAATTTCTCCAATTTCAGTCACCTAAAAATTAAGCTTCTTCGTTCAAAGCCATTATTAGTAGAGTATTTTGAAATGAAGGAAAACATTTTTTTCCCCAGTATCTGCATTTTGGTACTTAGCGTGATACAATTTATTACTTTATTTCTCAAATTTAGAAAGATTTCAAGTCTGAGTACTATTTGATATTTTTTCAGACGCAAAGCAATACCAACAGGAATCATAAATACGATTTTCTGACAGACGGGAAAGTCTGCTAACATTTACAAAATATCAACAACTCTTCCTTCAAGCATAAGATGACTGAGACTTATTAGTTATGATTACTTTTTCAGTACAAATACGAATTTAAATCTTGATTTTTTTTTTTTTTTGCCAACATTTTAAGTAGTCAAATTTTACTCCACTTCCAGGTCTCAAATTAAAATAATAAAAAAGAAACTAATGAAAATTACCCAACTGGCAACAAGTCCCATATTTCAATGTTATTTTTAACCCAACAATTATAACCTACTGCCAGTAATTACTCATATGTATCTACCTATTCTTATTAAAGAAGCACTGATCAGTTATATAAAAGAATAACTGCAAGAATGGTACTTGGCACTGGATTACCTTAATGCTTCTGGTGTAAAAAGAAGCACTCTTAAGCACTTTTTTCAGCCGTAATTTGAATTTCCAGAAGCATTTTTAAGTTGTTAATTTTCCACTGATAGATTCTAGGGAGTCTACTCCCAGCTAACATGGTTGATTTAAAAACAAAACAAAACAAACAAATCCCTAAGCCACATGGTAATGGAATATTACACCTGCTTTTTATATCATGGAAACAGTTCCAGGCAGACCGAAAGTAGAAGAAAACCTGCCAAATCAAAGTACTGTAAATAAATTTCATCTTACATACCTCCGAGCAGGAAAGCTCAGAAATCAAAAAGTTAAAATCAAAAGGCCACTCCCCACCCCACACAAAAACCCACCCAAAACACTAATTCTGAGCCTAACGTTTCCCTAAAATGTTAATTCCAGAAGCTTTAAGGTACTTCAACTGTGCAGTAACTGTGGAAAGCACCACACCACAGAGGAAATGCTGTAAAGGGGTCAGCAGCTGCCCGCCCGTCCCTCACCACCCCCACCCCAATAATATGTAAAAGCTCCTGTAAAGTTTTTTCTTATGCTAATAAAGGCATACCACCTAGTGTGCTAAAGACTAAAACTAGCAGCGTTAGAGCAGTAAAGTGAAAATAGGAAGCCAAGAGGAATGATCTAAATGCCTACTTAGAAGAAACAAAGCAGCAGACAGGACCCTTTGCCCTCTCATCATGTTTGTAGGGAAGTGGTTGAATTAAACAGATTTACCCACATTAACAAAAATTTAACAAAGCTTCCCCAAGACACCAGCATAAAACCTGACATTTCCAGTCAAAGGGCACAGAGAGGACTCTTCCATGTCCTGGAGTTGAATGAGTTCAAAGATTGGCAATAAAGGAAAAAAGAAAGCATTACGGGTGTGATGCGAACAAGCTCTGGAGTTAGTTTATCGAACAGTCACACCAAGTTTCTCCAGCACACGAACACCCTTTTCTTGGTATTCTTGTCGGGTCATCCAGAAGTTGTCTTTGTCTTTCATGATATCTGCTAGAACTGCACCACCCAGGAACACCATATGCTTTCTGCGTGGTGGGTCTTCAATGCGGATCTTAAATTTCTAAAGGAGAAAGATGAGATTGTAAAATGTCACCAGTGCATCATCAGGCTTTCTACTTTATGGAAATGACTTTTTCATGCATTCTCCTGTTGAATTCTCACAAGTCCTGTGACGTAAGTAGGACGGCATGATTTGTTATCTGAAGTAGAGACATTTTTGGTAATTTGCCCAAAGCTCACAGCGAGATCACACATCCATCCCAGTGTGCTTAGAACAGTCCTGACTTACACCTGTTGCCCCATCACTATTAACACCACCCCCGGGGCACCTGGGTGGCTCAGATGGTGAAGCGTCTGCCTTTGGCTCGGGTCGTGATCCCGAGCCCCACATCGGGAGCCTGCTTCTCCCTCCTCATGCTATCTCTGTGTCTCAGATGAATAAATAAAATCTTTAAAAAAAACACACACACACACACCACCCCGTCACTCTCAAAACTGTCTTTTTTTTAAAAAAGATTTATTTGAGAGAGTGAGAATGAGAGAGAGAGAGAGAGAGTACATGAGAGCGGGGAGGGTTAGAGGGAGAAGCAGGCTCCTCGCTGAGCAGGGAGCCCGATGCGGGACTCCATCCCGGGACTCCAGGATCATGACCTGAGCCGAAGGCAGTCGCTTAACCAACTGAGCCACCCAGGCACCCTCAAAACTGTCTTGATTTGAACAATAAATTCCACGGCAAGCCTACTGAGAGCCCAAGTACCACAGTCCTGATTGTGGCAGGTTTTCCCACCTACTGGGGATGACCACATGAGCAAATCACTTAGCCAGGTGTCAAGTCAAGAGTTTGGGTAAGAAGACTTCTATGGTTTCTTCAAGGTCTAATGTAAGGGTAAGATTGAAATTTTCTTATAAGCAAAGCTCACTTTCTATTTGTCTCAAATTCAAATGAAATGTTCTCAAAATAAACAAGGCCAAATATGGTCAAATAAACCATGGGGATGCTGGAAAAAATGAACACAGTTACCAAAATTAAAGACAAGTAGGATAAGTTTTATATTCTGTAGCCACTATCGATTATCTAATAAAAGACACACCTCAATCTGTGTGACCAGTCCACACCTAAAAGAAAAACCTTAAAATGTCATTGTTTACCTTACTGTGACACACCCCGCAAAAAGACTCAAAGTAACTATGTCATTTTAGATTGTCTTCACGTCACATAACCGAACTGTAGGATCAGATATAAACACCAGTTGACTTACTTAAAAAAATGGGCCCGGCTTTGTTGCAATCGAACTTTATTTATAAAACAGCCAGTACGATACCAGCCTGGGGTCTGGCCTGCCTGGCTCCAAGGGAGGCCCGGCTAGCCCCTCAGGACACTGCCGCCCCTGCAGCTGTCCGTGGGCTGCTGTCGCGCTCACTCCGGCCGGTTTGGTAACACCGACTCCTCTTCTCCGCTGCGGCTCTCTCTCCCCGCTCCTGACAAATCCCAAGTTGAAACTCATTCTGTCAGACCATTCCACTCACCACTCCTCTTGCCAAGTCACCTACAGGAGCCCCAGATGATTTCTTCCCACGCCTGCTCTTACTGAGCCCGTGTGGGCTCTCCCCGTCGCTTCCTCGTGGTACCTTAGTGACGTTGTCCTTCTCTCCCTCTCACACTCATGTGGCACAACAATGACTCGCATGACCAACTCTCTACTTTGCAGCTGCCCTCAAGCAACTGAACACGATAGGTGAGCAACTCTACGTCTTGGCTTAACTGCATCACGTCCTTCACTTGAGCCCCTTAGTGCAGCCCAGCAAGCCCATGACACGCTGTCTTCTCTCTTCTACTCTTCGAGACCACCATTTCATACCTCCTCCATTTCACAAACCTCCACCATCTCCTCCCTCCCTCCCTCTAAGCTTGCTACCTCATCCTTCTACAACCTTCCTTCTTCCTCCCTCCCCCACACCAGATTTAGTGATCCCTTAAAAACAAGTCAGATCGTAACACTTCGCTGCTCAAAACCCTCCCAAAGCTATTTCACTAGGAGTAAAGCTAAACCCTTCGCCATGGCTGACAAGACCTGCATCCGACCACCTTTCTGACCTCACCGCCCAGGCCTCTCCTTTACTTGCTCTGTTCCAGCCACAACCCAGGGTTTTTTTTTTGTTTTTTTAAGATTTATTTATTTGACAGAGAGACAGAGGGATAGACCACGCGCGCACAAGCAGAGGCAGAAGCAGGCAGAGGCAGAGGGAGAAGCAGCTCCCCGCGGAGCAGGAAGCCTGATGTGGGGCTCGATCCCAGGACCCTGGGATCATGACCTGAGCCGAAGGCAGACGCTTAACCGACTGAGCTACCCAGGCGCCCCAACCCAAGGCTTTTGTACTTGCTGTTCCTGCCTCGAAGATTCTCCCCACAGATGGTTACGTGGCTCACCGGCTCACTCTATTCAGGTCTTTGCTCAGAATTCATCTCCTCAGAGTCCTTCCATGACCACACTACATGAAGGAGTGTGCCATTTCCCCAGTCACTACCACTTTCTAGCCCCTCACCTTACCTTACTTTTCTTCAGAGTGCTTATTACTACTGACACACTCACAGACTAAAAGTGGGGACTTGGTTTTTATTCACTACTGTTTTGTTTGTTCCAGCACCTAGACAAGTATTTGGCACCCAGAAGCAGGTCAAGAAATATTTGCTGAATAAGGAAATAATCACCTGAAATTAACTTTAAATTCTATGTATAACTAAAAAAAATCAGACAAATAAGCAAAGTACTTAGACAACATGGCTCCTTTTGAGTTTTTTTTTTTAATATTTTATTTATTTGACAAAGAGAGACACAGCGAGAGCAGGAACACAAGCAGGGGGAGTGGGAGAGGGAGAAGCAGGCTTCCCGCTGAGCAGGGAGCCCGATGCAGGGCTCGATCCCAGGACCCTGGATCATGACCCGAGCCGAAGGCAGACGCTTAATGACCGAGCCACCCAGGCGCCCCGAGTCTTTTAATTTATTTAATGTATGTGAGTCCATATTTAATTTTCACAATTTAGTCACAGATGAAGGATGTGACATTAGTATCTCTGATACATAGATAGTCCTCTGTAATAATGTAATCTCATTATCTACAACAGCCAATCAAAGTTGTTGGGACAAAGCTCAGAGATTAACTCAGAATTAAATGACTCCTGGCTGAGTGCATGGTATACATAGTGTACTTCACACACTCTAGTGGTTGGTTGAAAAAAGAAATCAATGCCAAATAACCATCAACTATTATACATACTAGTTTATAAATTACTTTCTATTCTACACATTGACAACTACCAATTAAAGTTTATTTCAATAGCTAGGATAGCTGATGAGGATGCAATGTATTTGATACATTAGGTTTTACAATCTGATTAGGGAAATAAGACATATGCAAGAAATAGTCAGAAAAATAACCTAGAATCAGAAATATGAGCCAGTCCAAGAGTAGCAATGAAGGCTGGTTACATATCCAAAAAATAAGCTAAAAAGAACCCAAAAACCCCAAAGAGACATTTCTCTCTCTATAGTACAGTAGTCCCCCTTTATCTGTGGTTTTGCTTTTTGTGATTTCAGTTACCCGTGGTCTGGAAGCAGATTATCCTCATTCTGACATCACTACATCACAAGACCTGCTTAACTCACGTCACTTCATATCATCACGTAGGTATTTCATTCTCACATCACCATAAGAGTGAGTACAGTACAATAAGACATTTTAAGAGAGACCACATTCATGTAACTTTTATTCCAGTATATTGTTCTAACTGTCCAATTTATTGTTGTTAATCTCTTACTGTGCCTAATTTATAAATTAAACTTTATCATAGGTGTTCCTGTATAGGAAAAAACATGGTATACATGGGATTCAGTATTATCTGCGGTGTAGGTATCCACTGGGGGCCTTCGAATGTATCCCCCACAGAAAAGGGTGGTGGGGAGGGAATACTATATGGCAGGTTCTTCTCGTGCCTTAGAAGCATCTCGACTCCAGGCTGTCTGTTACAGAGGAACCAGAACATCTGGCCCTGGACCTCATTGCCTCCAGCCACTGGATACAGAGGTGACCAGGCAGTACAACCATTTTGAAACAGAGCTTACCTAGAACCATTTACTTCTTCCCATCTTTTCAAGGCTGCATGTGACTTCATTAATAATTTGTTTAGGAAGACTCCTTGCTCCCTCTGGTGGTTGTCAAGATTCACAAGCTACTTTATAGGGTTTTAAAAGCATGTTAACAGTTGCATTATTGGTACTTACAGAAAGTTTTTCCACATCTCCCTTTAAAACTCGTTCTAAGTACAGCTGCTTAAGTTCTCGTTCCAACCGTGATGGCAACCCAGGGTACATAGTAGACCCTCCAGAAAGCACGATGTGCTTATAGAATTCAGATCTAGAAGGACACAAAAGGTATTCATTTGGGGTTTCAGATGAGAAAAACAGTCTTACAGAGTTCCTTTTATATCTATCAGCCTCAAGGGATTGCTGGGAGAGTTAAATAAAATTCAACATGGAAATTGTAGGGCTGAATGTTTGTTACTAATGCTGTTATTAGATAACAAACCCTCTCTATGTGCAAAATACTTGTAATTTTAATGAGAATACTTCTAAAGCACATGACACACTTTCTTGCAAATATTGAGACTTTTTAAAAAATTATTTCATTTTTTTATTGAGAGCAAGCGGGGGGCGGAAGCAGAAGGAGGGGGACAAGCAGACTCTGCACTGAGCTCAGAGCCTAACGTGGGGCTCATTCTAATGACCCCGAGATCACTACCTGAGCCGAAATCAGAGGAGTCAGACACCCAACTGACTGAGCCACCCAGGCGCCCCTGTAATTGAACATTTATAAATGACCAGAGTTTACATTACAAACTTCCACTATTTGGACTGTGTCATCACAGTGCTTCCCCGGAGTTTACTACAATTAACCATTTTCTATTATGATTTCAGTTTTTGCTTTTCAATTTTTCCATTTACCTTTTGTAGTTTTCCCTTTTGTTCCTTTGCCTTGGGACTAGCTGCTATTATTTTACGTGACATTGACATGTTTCCTCGTTACAGCAGTCCTCTCTTTCTTCCTCAAATATGCTACTGGTTATGATACCAGATAATCAAATCTAAAAAACTGCATATGTAGTAAAAGTAATAAAACTAAGTGAGGGTCTGAAGAACTCTTCTCCTAGTAAAGTTCAGGAGCTCAGTCACATCTGTTTTGGCTTCATTCAAAGTGGCTTCCAATGGCTCAGGCTATTATAATCCCAGCTCACAGAGGAGTGGAGTTTTTATATCTACTCACAGAAGTATGCACATGAGTGTAGCATATGCAGCTGAGATATGGCTACACGTGGTATGTACCCACTAGCATTTACATGTATCCTTCCAACATGCAGAACACACAATGCCAGCTCTGTCATAAGGGTACTGAACCGGACTTCGGGAATGCCAAAACTTGAATCACCACCAATAAGCATACACTTTTAAATGGAATTTTACTTGGTGATTAACAATAAAAAAATTTGAAGGAAAAAAAAGAAAAAATAAATGCAATTTTACTATTAATGATCATTAAGTCAAGGGACAAAAGCATCTACCTAATCCCTACTACGAGAATTTACTCCCTACTTTGAGAAGTTTAGATTCTTGATCATCTTACATCAAGTTTATAGCTTGTTATAAGCCAACTGCTATTTTTATTACTTTCCATTATTATCATGCTCCTCAGCCATCCCACAAAAATTAGTTTGGTGGTTATTTAATTCAGGGTTAAACAGACAAGTAAGCAAACACTTGCTTTTTACAAAATGCTTCTGAGTGAATTCCTCTGTAACCTGAGTGTATTGTGTACAGGAGGGCTTTTCAACTATGACTCAAACTCTAGATGCAATAAAAGATTATAAACTTATTTAATAACTAAGTAAACACAAATTTTTGTATAGCCAAAGAACGCCACAAGCCAAGAGACAAATGGACAATCAGGAGAAGTATCTGCAATAGATATCACAGAGCTATAATATAAAAAGAACTTTTAAAAAACTTGAGGGGGAAAATTACAAAAATTCTACAGAAGCAGCAAAAGCCACGAACAGATAGTTCACCAGAAAAAGATAAAAACAGCCCTAAACACAGAAAAACATGTTCAACTTCACTCTTAAGTAAAAAACAAATTAAAACTACATTGAGATAATCATTTCACTCACCAGACTGGCATAAAAGTTAAAAAGTTGCCAAACGGTGACCAAGCTGTGGGGACTAGGTGCCCTCATCTACTACTGATGGGAAGGAGAAGGGTCCCAACCTCCAGAGGGGAACTGAGCAGTAACAAAACTACATGGATTTATATACCCTTTGACCCAACAATTCCCTCTAGAAATTTTTTCAAAATATACATGCCCAAGAGTACAAAAATATAGTGTGCACAGGTTATTAATTGCAACATTATTTATTTGCAAAGATATTGGAATCTACCTAAATAACCAAGATTCACTGAATAAACCATGATATGTATACACTGGAAAAAAGGAGGACAATCCCTAGGAAGTGGTACAGGATTGTTCAGGATAATACTAAGTGAAAGAAGTGCAAAAAAGCATTTATACTAAGCTACCTTTTGTGTAAGAGCAAGTAAGAAACACAGAAAGGATAAACGTGAAACTAATGAGATCATTTACCTACAAGGGGGAGGAGGACCAGGGTGGAGAACAAGGGGCTGGGAGAGCAATACTTCAAAGTATGCTTTTTATGTAGTTTTGAGTAGATGGTAATGTTTTACCTACAAAATTAAAGATAAGCCAGGAATATGCTGTGCCACAAAACAGAATGTGCCCAAAGAGATAACAGCATGTCAAAGGACACAGAGGTTGTGTTTGAAGGGGCTCTCTCTGGCCAAATCAGGAACAATTTGAGCATCAAAATAAATACAGTAATAAATTATAATCACTGGACAAAATCATGAGTCCACACTGATAACAAACAAAACAAGGAAGAGCACTTCCTTATGCTGGAATACCAATTAATAACTATAGAAGGAATGACAGAATTAGAAAATCACCTTTTTGCAACCACAATAAAAATGGATTTAGGCAAGAATCATCAACAGATACTAAAAGGGGTGGAGGGCAGAGTTTAATGAGGAACAGGAGATCAACACAGTCTCAAAGTATTATCCCACAAATCACTTATAAACTAAGAAAGGAAAATACAAAAACCAAACAGGAAACTTCATTAAGAGCTTAATCCTAACATCACCAACAAGAAACAAACAGATCTCATCTCTGGATGGGACACCCTGAGAAGGACACATCACTAAAGTAGTATTCCAGCCCCAAATGCATAACCTGAATCTAATCATGAGAAGATATTCAAACTCAAGTTGAGAAAAATTCTCTAAGATAACTGGCTTTTCTCTAAAAAGATGTCGCTGTCATGACAGACTAAAGAATTGTTAACAGATAAAAGCTAAGAGACATGACAACTACATACGCTGTGTGATCCCAGACTTGATAATCTCCTGGGGAAAAGAAAAACTGTATAAAGGACATTATTGGGATAGTAGATGAAACTGAAAAATGGATGGCAGATAACATCAGATCAGTAATCAATCTCCTGAGCTCAATAATCGCACTGTGGCTATATAAGAGAATACCTCTGTTCTCAGGAAATACAAAGCAAATATTAAGGAGTAAAAGAGGACTTATGCATTCACCATACTCTCAAATGGCTCAAGAAAAAAAAGAGAGGGAGAATGATAGAATAAACTTGCAGAATGTTAAACTTAGTAGAATGCAAAACTGAGTACAGGGTATACATGAGCTCTCTATTATTCTTGAAATTTTTCTTTAAGTTTTGAATTATTAAAAAAAAACAAGGTGGTTTTTTTTTTTAGATTTTATTTATTTATTTGAGAGAGAGAATGAGAGAGAGAGAGAGACAGCATGAGCGGGGGAGGGTCAGAGGGAGAAGCAGACTCCCTGCTGAGCAGGGAGCCCGATGCGGGACTCGATCCCAGGACTCCAGGATCATGA